TCCCCCTCCCAGCCAAGAGCTAGTGCCTCAACCCCCAGGTGCAGCTACCTGAGTGTTCGGAATATACCAGCCCCCGCGTGGGGGGGAGGGGGGAGCAAGGGGGCGTGCGACAAACCAACTTTGTTCCAAGCAGCAGCCAGAACGTGTCGCCTCCCCCCGCCCGATCCGATGCCCCCCGTATGTAAAAGAGGGGGCGGGGCCAGGGAGTACTGGCGGGCGCGGGGGTCGCGCGCCGCTGTTCGTAGGAGGAGGTTGCGCGGCTGCTCCGCTCCTCCTCCTCCCCCGGCGGGCGAGAGGCCGGGCCGGGCCAGGGCGGCGGCGGCACGTGCGCGGGCGGGATGGAGCTGGAGGAGTTGGGCATCCGCGAGGAGTGTGGCGTGTTTGGCTGCATCGCCGCGGGCGCCTGGCCCTCGGAGCTGGACGTGCCGCATGTCATCACGCTGGGGCTGGTGGGGCTACAGCACAGGTGAGCGGCTCCGCGCCTCGTCCTCGCCACGTGCGCAGCGGGCAGCTGGAGCGAGCGGCTGCCGGAGGAGGCTCTGGGCGGTCCCGTCCCGGGTGCGGTGGCCCACGGCGGAGCTGCCCTGGGGCCGGGGAACCGCAGTGCCTTGCACTGACCACTGCCCTGAAGGCGAGCCTGGCCCACGCCTGTGACAGGAGGGGCAAAGGGTTGGTAGACGACCCACAGAGTCCAGCAGCGGGCACTGGGAATGACTGGGGGGCGCCGAGGAGAGGGGGCTCGTTTAGTCTGCAGAAGAGAAAACACTGGGACAGGTTACCCAGAGAGGTGGTGGAAGCTCCATCCTTGGAGGTTAAGACCTAGGTAGACCAAGCCTCGGCTGGGATGATCTAGTTGGGGATGGTCCTACTTTGAGCAGGGGTTGGACTAGATCACTGTTTCTCAACCCGAGACCCAATAGTGGGTCACAAGAATATATGAAACGGTTTCAAGTAAACTTTAGAAATGGGTTCTCCTTTTAAAGGACAAGAAAGTGCGAAACAGTGGCTTTTCTCTTGCAGGCTGAAAGACTTCCAGCCTGTGAGGGGCTGCTTGGGTCCCCCTGCCCCACACACTGGGGAGGGGCAGCAGGTCAGGGCATTGGGTTGGGACTGGCCATCAATGTTTACAAATGGGTCCTGGTACAAAAAAGGTTGAGAACCACTGGACCTCCTATAGTCCCTTTAAACCCTAATTTTCTGTGATGACTCTTTGCCTTCACCAGGTTGGGCCAACAAGTCACTTGGCTCGGGGAGACCTTTGACCTCAAATGAGATAACAGCATGGTTATGCCATGAATCTTTCTTGGTGTCCTGTATTGTGTATATTTATGCTGAGTTTGTAAACCCCTAGGTCTGTGGACCACTATTGCTTTTATTCATTACTGTATGTAATTCCACCTGTATCACTACTTGGTGGGAGGGCATAACAAGTAAGTAGTAGCTGTAATTTTATGAATCACTCTATTAACTTTTTGGAAGTTAATGGTATGGAAAGACATGATAGAGCATGATACTTTGTTGCACCCACACATCCTATGCTGAAGTTTATATTTCTTGATGCTCTAGCACATGGCTGTCCAGCTTCTAAGCAGCTGGGGTCAAATGCCCCAAAGGCCACACCAGCAGGTGCAGTACCAGGGTAAACCACAGCCCCCCCCCCCAGCAGTGCGCCAGCTAGACAGTCTCCACTCCCATGCTCCACCATGTAGGAGTCCCCTTTACCCTCTACACTATGAACCTGAATGGTTCCCCTCCCCTTCCACCACTGCACTATGTACCCATGCAGTCCCCAATCACTGCACCACATGATTGTGCAGGTACTCCTTCCACTCCTGTGCACATGCACATGCCCCCTTCCCCATTGCTGCACCATACGCACAGCCTCAGGCTCATCCTCAGCTCTCCTGACCATCCTCCGTGCAGGAGCAACCAGTGAAAGCCTGAGAAAGGAGATAGTGCCCAGAGACTCCAGGTACTATTGCAGCCTACCTGATGTGGGGAGTGTTGGCAGGGCAGAAGGTCAGGGGCTTCAGCTTAACCCCTCTCAGGCCATAAGCTGCTCTTGGGTCACCAGTTGAACAGTGCTGCTTTAGCTTTAATTTGTTCATGAAGAACAAATCCTATACTCTGCTTGAAAATAGTGGAGCTATCTACTTAACCTAAATTAGGATTGCATACTCATTTCGGCTGGAAATAATGCAGGATGCACATGAAAATTGTAGCCCAGTTTTTATCTTGTGCTACAAGGAAATGATGTTAACATACTAATTCTGTTTCACCTTCCCTCCACACAAGATATACTCTGTGTATGAAAGGAGAAAATACGTGGTAGCTTTTGGTTTTGATAGTAAGAACATTAATGTGTGTTAATTTCATTCATGCATGGGTGACTAGTGCCACCTTAGTTGGGGGGGGACGGGGGCACATGCCCCCCCAGTAACCAGTCAGCAACCAGAGGTGGGGGGGGTCCACCCATGGCAAAACTCACTGACTGGGAAGCTGCTGCAGAGCTACATCCCACACTCCCCTCCAAGTGCTCGCAGGAGGGGCACCAGTGCTCCCGCCTGCCCTCCTGCCCATCACTTAAGCAGGGAGTGCACGTGCACCCCCTACACATCACGACTGCATCCATGTGAAAAATGGACTTGAAGAGGATTGCTCTTATTTATAAATGTGTGTGGGATTGAGGCCCTTTTTAAAAAAGAAAAAAAGACAAAGGTATGCAAGCTTTTTTGCCTGGTTTGGAGCAGATGATATAAACTGTATGTTCCAATTTACTGGTTGTTGCTACTTATTTTCAGGTACCTTCCCAGATTAAATATTGTTATCTAATGTTATGCATTCTTTTAATGCATTACATGCATAAAAAATTGTTATGCATTCTTTTAATCCTTTGCTGAGAGAGAACATTTGGGGATCAATAGATCTGCCACAGGCACATCTCATCAGAAAGCAAGAGTTTATGAAAATGGATGAAGACTTCTACGGAAATTGGAACCCAAAGAGAGAAGCCATTCAGTGGCCACATTGCACCCATTTTCTCCAGTGGTTAAACTCCACTCTCACTAATATGATTACAGAAACGCACAATGGATCAAATTCTGACTTGCATTTCTATAATTACATTGATGTCAAATTCATGCTTTTCTGTGGGCATTTGGTGCACATACCATGAACTCTTTGGCATAATAATCTCCCATGGAATCTAGTCAATAATTGGAAATACATCTTAATAGCACTCGCTACAATTTCATTAAATATTTTAATTTAATGTTCTCTGTCTTTTGAGACATCATTATTTAGTTTTTAGGGAACCCAAAGTCAGTCAGTCCCTCTCCCTCTCATTCTCACAATGTGAATGAGATGACTACTTGAGAATAATGCCCTAAGTTACCTGTGGATATGTCTACGCATCAAAATAATGTGACACAATAAGCTCCATCGTATATCATGCCAGAATGTATTGCTTCTAGGTGCTGTATTTACACACGTGCCTGGGACTGCAGCACACTGAGCTGGGTTGGTGTAGCCCCAGGTGGTAGGGGGCCCGTGGGGTCAGCCTGCCAACCTGGGGCTTCTCTGACCCTGTTCAACATGCTGTTGAGGGGCTGGCTGGGGCATGAGGGTGCTCCACTGTGGGGTTAGCCAGAAAGCAGCCCTGCGCTGAAGCACCCTTATGCCCCAGCCAGCCAGGTCAGCACCTACACATGTGTTGCTGTGCACTAAAGAATGCCACCATAGGATAGTATTTGTAGTTACAAGTGCTAACCTACAGCAGAATTAATTAGTTTCCTGTAGCCTAGTAGCTTTCTGCTTGCAACCAGAATTAAATTTAGAATTAATTGAATCAATACTTGAACTCTCTTTCTTTTAACTTAAAAAAGAGAGAGGAAATGCATATCTCTGTTAAAGTACATGTGAACAAAATACTTTAAAAACAAACAAAAACAAAGCTAAAATAAGAGTGCAGTAAAAGCCATACTGGATCCATCAGCCAAGGCTCAATACTACTACTGTTCAAGTAATTTTTTAATATGAGTTAGATTTGCAGTAAGAAGAGAAAGTCTTTAAAATTACTCAGTAAATCACTAAGGGCCTTGGATACACATGATTCCCATTACTCTATGCAACATCTTGGGGGTCAGAATGTGGTCTGAATGTAGCTCTCAGTAACACATCTGGGATTATAAGAAGTAGAAGTAAAAAAGGTGAAAGGTACCTATGAACGTTCTGGAGAAGGTTGACTCGGTGTTTAAGGAAAAATGGGCATTCCCCTCACAAGAATGGTTAGTTAGGTAACACTTCATCTGTGTGAAAAGTGCCATGCTTGGATTACATAATAAAAACACCCACAGTGTCTTTTTAAAACACTTTGCCGCTTTGTGTGTTCCCACAATATGGAACCAATAGCTACATAGGTTTCATGAATCTGAGGTGAAAAGATTTTTGGGTTACCCACTAAGGGTTTAGTTTGCTGGGGGCTCTGATTTTTTGCTCTGGCGTCATCCATCAAAATACTTGAGTGTGCCTGACTTAAACATCTGAGTACTACTGTTCCTTTCAGTGAAACTGCGGGGGCCAAAGTGCATAGAATCTATGGGAAACTTTGTTTATTAATTTATTGATGAAAACAACTAAAGCTTCATAAAATTGTTTTGTAATTTATCTGTTCCTCAAAGAGTAGAAGTTTTTGGCTTGTTATTGATCAGACTCTGGTGCCACTCATAATGAAAGGCAGAATTTTAATCTTTAGGATTTGTTTAGACAAGTTCTTAAATGCA